CCGGCCCCCGGTGTCGGACCGACACGCCCGAGACGTCCACGTGTTCGTCTCGACCTGGGCTACCATCCCTGAAAATTTCAGCCCCCTGGAATAAGAGGCGGGAAAGTTATAACCGTTTTGGGACGTTTTTGGTCAGCCCGGGAGTCCCGGGCTGAATTTTCAAACCGCCACAGAACCGCGCCCCGGTGTCGGACCGACACGCCCGAGGCGTCCACGTGTTCGTCTCAACCTGGGCTACCATCCCTGAAAATATCAGCCCCCTGGAATAAGAGGCGGGAAAGTTATAGCCGTTTTGGGGACGCAGAGTGAGGGTTATTTCTCGTCAGCCCGGGAGTCCCGGGCTGAATTTTCAAACCGCCACAGAACCGCGCCCCGGTGTCGGACCGACACGCCCGAGGCGTCCACGTGTTCGTCTCGACCTGGGCTACCATCCCTGAAAATATCAGCCCCCTGGAATAAGAGGCGGGAAAGTTATAACCGTTTTGGGACGTTTTTGGTCAGCCCGGGAGTCCCGGGCTGAATTTTCAAACCGCCACAGAACCGCGCCCCGGTGTCGGACCGACACGCCCGAGGCGTCCACGTGTTCGTCTCACCCTGGGCTACCATCCCTGAAAATCTCAGCCTCCTGGAATAAGAGACGGGAAAGTTATAGCCGTTTTGGGGACGCAGAGTGAGGGTTATTTCTCGTCAGCCCGGGAGTCCCGGGCTGAATTTTCAAACCGCCCTAGAACCGGCCCCCGGTGTCGGACCGACACGCCCGAGGTGTCCACGGACGCGTCTCAACCTGGGCTACCACCCCTGTGATTTTCACGCACGGGGGACAAGAGACGGGAATGTTACGTCGGTCTGAAAATCAGCGGGGGACAGCGCGGCCGTGTCCGCTCACGAGCGCCTATTCTCGGTCAAGAAAGTGGCGGTTTCTCGGGCCCGTAGAAGGCGAACCAGGGGGGCTATAGACATGGGGCTTGGACCCACGCACTCCTCCGGACCTGGGCTACATCCTCCGCGAAATTTCACTCATAGGAAATGAAAGACAAAAAAGTTACGGCCTGCGCAAAAGGCACTTGAGCTCGCTAGACACTTTGTCATTTTTTCCTCCAAAAGCCCGTGTGCCTAGGAATACAGAATCTCCAGAAATTGGTTAAAAATCAACGCAGAGGCCCAGAGACTCGCGGTCTGGACCCAGGGACACGTCTCGACCTGGGCTACCACCCCTGTGATTTTCACGCACGGGGGACAAGAGACGGGAATGTTACGTCGGTCTGAAAATCAGCGGGGGACAGCGCGGCCGTGTCCGCTCACGAGCGCCTATTCTCGGTCAAGAAAGTGGCGGTTTCTCGGGCCCGTAGAAGGCGAACCAGAGGGGCTAGAGACATGGGGTTTGGACCCACGCACTCCTCCGGACCTGGGCTACCACCGGGGCGGGCTTTGCTCCCGCTCAGATCCGGGCCTGGGCGCTCATTCCCGGGGGAAGAAAGCCCCGCTTTCCGGGCTCCTCAAAGCCGAGCCAGGGGGGCTACAGACACGGGGGTGGGACCCAGGGACTCCCCTGGTCCCGGGGTACCTGCAGTGTGAATTTGACGCGCGGGGGACCAAGGACCAGAAAGTTATGGCCCTTGGAAACCACCGGGGGACAGCGCGCCTGCCATCCGCCCAAGAGCGCTCCTTCTGGGGGAGGAGAACCTCGGCTTACATGGCTCGTAGAAAACGAACCATAAGGGCTAGAGACACGTGGTTTTCACCCACGCACTCCTCTGGTCCTGGGCTACCACCGGGGTGTGCTTTGCTCCCGCTCAGATCCGGGCCTGGGCGCCCATTCCCGGGGGAAGAAAGACCCGCTTTCCGGGCTCCTCAAAGCCGAGCCCAAGGGGGTAGAGACACGGGGGTTGGACCCAAGGACTCCCCTGGTCCAGGGGTACCCGCGGTGTGAATTTGACGCGCGGGGGACCAAGGACCAGAAAGTTATGGCCCTTGGAAACCACCGGGGGACCGTGCCTCTGCCATCCGCCCAAGAGCGCTCCTTCTGGGGGAGGAGAACCTCGGCTTACATGGCTCGTAGAAAACGAACCATAAGGGCTAGAGACACGTGGTTTTCACCCACGCACTCCTCTGGTCCTGGGCTACCACCGGGGTGTGCTTTGCTCCCGCTCAGATCCGGGCCTGGGCGCCCATTCCCGGGGGAAGAAAGACCCGCTTTCCGGGCTCCTCAAAGCCGAGCCCAAGGGGGTAGAGACACGGGGGTTGGACCCAAGGACTCCCCTGGTCCAGGGGTACCCGCGGTGTGAATTTGACGCGCGGGGGACCAAGGACCAGAAAGTTATGGCCCTTGGAAACCACCGGGGGACCGTGCCTCTGCCATCCGCCCAAGAGCGCTCCTTCTGGGGGAGGAGAACCTCGGCTTACATGGCTCGTAGAAAACGAACCATAAGGGCTAGAGACACGGGGTTTTCACCCACGCACTCCTCCGGACCTGGGCTACCACCGGGGCGGGCTTTGCTCCCGCTCAGATCCGGGCCTGGGCGCCCATTCCCGGGGGAAGAAAGCCCCGCTTTCCGGGCTCCTCAAAGCCGAGCCAGGGGAGCTACAGACACGGGGGTGGGACCCGGGGACTCCCCTGGTCCCGGGGTACCCGCAGTGTGAATTTGACGCGCGGGGGGCAAAGGACCAGAAAGTTATGGCCCTTGGAAACCACCGGGGGACCGTGCCTCTGCCATCCGCCCAAGAGCGCTCCTTCTGGGGGAGGAGAGGACCGCAGCAGCAGGGTCAGGAGGCACGCTGCTCCATACCCCCGTGCTTACGGCCATACCACCTTGAGAATGCCCGATCTCGTCTGATCTCGGAAGCTAGGCAAGGTCGGGCCTGGTTAGTACTTGGATGGGAGACCGCCTGGGAATACCAGGTGCTGTAAGCATTTTGCCCCTGGAGCTCGGGCCTGGGGGCGGGCAGGTCCGCCAGGGGGGGTTAAGGTTAGGTGTGGGGAAGCCCTGGTTCTCCAGGGGGGCTATGTGCAGGCGTGGGGGGCGGCCTGGATCTCCATGGGGGGTAAGGTCAGGTGTGCGGAAGGCCTGGACCTCCAGGGGGGCTGTGTGCAGGTGTGGGGGCGGCCTGGATCTCCATGGGGGTTAAGGTTAGGTGTGGAGAAGCCCAGGACCTCCAGGGGGGCTATGTGCAGGCGTGGGGGCGGCCTGGATCTCCATGGGGGTTAGGGTTAGGTGTGGGGAGGGCCTGGATCTCCATTCGGGTTAAGGTTAGGTGTGGGGAAGGCCTGGACCTCCAGGGGGGCCATGTGCAGGCGTGGGGGCGGCCTGGATCTCCGTGGGGGTAAAGGTTAGGTGTGGGGGAGGCCTGGACCTCCAGGGGGGCCATGTGCAGGCGTGCGGGCGGCCTGGATCTCCATGGGGGTTAAGGTTAGGTGTGGGGAGGGCCTGGATCTCCATTCGGGTTAAGGTTAGGTGTGGGGAAGGCCTGGACCTCCAGGGGGGCCATGTGCAGGCGTGGGGGCGGCCTGGATCTCCATGGGGGTTAGGGTTAGGTGTGGGGAAGGCCTGGATCTCCATGGAGGTTAAGGTTAGGTGTGGGCAAGCCCAGGACCTCCAGGGGGGCTATGTGCAGGCGTGGGGGCGGCCTGGATCTCCATGGGGGTTAGGGTTAGGTGTGGGGAAGGCCTGGATCTCCATGGAGGTTAAGGTTAGGTGTGGGCAAGCCCAGGACCTCCAGGGGGGCTATGTGCAGGCGTGGGGGCGGCCTGGATCTCCATGGGGGTTAGGGTTAGGTGTGGGGAAGGCCTGGATCTCCATGGAGGTTAAGGTTAGGTGTGGGCAAGCCCAGGACCTCCAGGGGGGCTATGTGCAGGCGTGGGGGCGGCCTGGATCTCCATG